GAAATGGATTAGGATTTGGATAGATGTTATATTTAAAATAAAGTGGGTGGGGGTAAATAGTGGGGTGGGTATATATGTTATTTTAATTTTATAAAATCATTATTAATTAAAATTATAAAAACCTGATAATTGAATAAAGAACTTAAAAACCTGAATTTTTAAAATGTAAAAGAAAACACATGGTTTGGTGTAATTTCCTCTTTCAATTAAATGGATTGGGCTGGGAAATGGTATTGGGCCGTCTACATTAGGGCTGGGAATGGTATTGGGTCTCTTGGGCTGGCAGACTGGCAATAGACATTAATAAAAAAATAAAAAACAATTGGGCCATTAGGTTGGACCCAAAAGTTCAGTGCTCCTCATTGGGCTCCGCCCCTGCATACACACGGCTTATTCTTGTGACAATAATGCTACAGAAATATAGAGTTTGACATAAAATTTGATATAATACCACGTGACATTATATCACTGAGCAATTTAAATTACAGTCAACTTTTCTATTCAATCACTTTCTTCCACTTGCAATTATATCAAGTCTTTTGTCAAAGTAGTTTTATCTTTCTTGTGAAATAGCGAATGGCTCCTTCTTGTTCCTATTCTGCCTTTGCTTCTGTCGTAGCAATAGTGATCGTTCCATTTCCTTTCTCTTACCGTTGATTGATGTTGGCACTACAGTATGTACCGACACCTTTGTGGTGAGACCCTTCTCACCTATTTTTGCCCATTCGTGGCTACTTTGTTCGACCGATCTCCGTGGTAAATCATTTGGGTGATTTCTTCGTGGTTTGTGCAAGATTCTTGGTACGACCAAGTGTAGTGTTGCCTTGTGATCTTAGGTTGATAAATTTGAGCCTCGTAACCACCTATTGCTACGATTTCGGATTCTATAGAGAAGTTTTCTTTCTTGCTTATTTTTACATTGATTCATTATTGATATTTATTTGATTAGAAACTTTGTGTTTTGTTTGTATTGAAATTTGGTTTTGAAAGATTGAAATTTGGTTAAGTGATAAAATCGAAACTTGGAAAAAGTAACTTTCTTGTCAACTTCAGCCAAATATTCGGACACGATCTGATGGTCAAATTATAAAAGTAAATAGACCAACATGTTCTACTCGTCGAGTAGATCGTCGTGGTATATTTGGAATTTCAAAACCAATTCCAGATGAATGAGAATTGCAGTCCAAAGTTAGGAAGAAAATAGAGGAAGCTGTCCAAAAAATTGACTAAGGTTGTTGCTAGCTTATGGTTGGACTGTGGCTTGAGCGACATGACTATCGCTTGAACGACAAGCCAGCGATAAGCTAGCAAAAAAGTCACTGTTTTTATCACTTGAGCGAGGCGATGGCGACAGGCTAGCGACAGTAAATGGTGCAACATTTGGCAAGAGTTGCTGAGCTTGGGGCGCGGCATTTCATTCACAACCCCTCATCCTCTATATATAGGACCCCTTAGACGTCCCTTTTGCATCCCATACCATATGTGCATTGTGTATTCATAAAAT